TTCTCGTTGTGCCACAATTAGCATTTGAATTTTAAAAATATTTTTAATAATTTTTAAGTGGTCGGATACTTTTGGCCGGGGAGTGTACTTTATGAAAAATGTTAAGCGTAATCATTGAAATACTCACTCGAAATAATCTCTTATGATTAAAAAAATGATCGAAGAAATAATTCAAAGATTTTTTTGTTCGAATGATTGACAAGAAGCATAAATTCAACATTTTGAACTCAATTATGTAAAAAAACTCAATAATGTTACGTAATTTGTACTAAATTAATAATCTTTAAATAATTTGTATTTAATCACTTTATGAATGGTTTGCTTCGTGAATAAGGTTATAATAATGTTTTAATAATATTATTTCATTGTATGCCATGAATATTTTGAGAGTAACGTAATTATTTAAATATCGCTAATTTTTCAGTTACAAAAGTTAATGTAAAGATTACTGCGAATTATTTTATGTCATATGCATAATGCAATAATATGTCATAAATAAAATTGTGTTACCCTTTTTTTGCATGAAATAAATTAATGATGTTAAATTTTTATTAAATTTGATTGTTTAAAAAGCACGAGCGATTAAAACTATGTTAGCCAGTACAAAACCGAAAATCCAACAAGAATGATTATCATAAATAATAAATTTAACAATGAATTTTGCTATATTTCTATTTAGAAGAATTTAAAAGATTTCTTTTGTTTACTTTGTATTGTGATAATACTTGTGAAAATTCTTTATTAATTTTCTTTTATTTAATTTTTTTTCCATCGAACACTTTAATATTTTTTTCCATTGAACACTTTAATCTTTTTTTCCATCGAACATACACACTTTAATCTTTTTTTCCATCGAACATACACACTCTAATCTTTTTTTTCCATCGAACATACACTCAGAATTTTGGATCAAATTATTTATAAAATTAATGTAAAATTAGTAAAATTAGTAAATTCTGGAATAATTTTTTGAATACCATGCATAATGAATTTTTAATAGAAAATCTAGAATACATATAAAGAAATATATATATATGATTTTGTTCTCTCAAAAAGTTGATTATTTTTTTTTTTGAACTTCATCCATACTCAAAATGGTCAAATTATTTTTTATCAAAAATTCTTATATAAACGTAGAGTATTTTTCCAAGTTTGATCAAACAAAAATAAAATATAAATATTTTACATTTTTCTGTTTCTCTTTCTACCGTATAATTTACATTTTTTGTCTCTCTACTAAATCATAAATATCAAAATATATAACTAACGATGGCTAACAACAATAATTCTAATCCTCCGCCTAACAATAATACTAATCCTCCACCTCTTAATAATCTTAATCCTCCACCTAACAATAATGCTAATCCTCCGCCACTTAATAATCTTCATCCTCCACCTAACAATAATCCTCCTAACCTCGAGGAAATAATTCAAAGTACATTTATAGAATTTCTATTTAATGGAGATTATAATAATAATAATAATCAATCTTCTTCAGTGGTAGCAGTTAATATGAATGCGCAAGGAATCGATGCTTCATTTTTACAAAATGGAAGAGAATTATTCTAGAATTTTATTCTAATATTTTTCTTCGACATCGTAGATTACTATATACAGTATTATTTAATTTAATATTATTTATCGATTATTCCATACCGCAGGGGTTAGGGTTTTCAAGGGTATTATATTTATCACCGTGTGTAACACCTATGAATATTGGAATTATTTTATCACACGTGAAATATTTTCGAACACCTGGATATCATGTGTCTTTTATTTAATCATGTGTTTATTTTATTGGTTGATAATCACATTGGTGTTAGCATTTATTGATTATATTAATTTAATAATTCTTTTCATTGATCCGTTGGGTTAATCATCAAATAATAAAAATTAAAAAAAAAATGGTTAGAAAAATGGCAAAAAAAAAATCGACATAGAAAAAAATGGCAAAAAAAAAAAATCGGCGACATAGAAAAATGGCAAAAAAAAAATTCGACGATATAGAAAAAAAAAAATGGCAAAAAAATCGGCGACAGAAAAATGGCAAATCGAGATTAAAACTAACGAATTCGCTAAAATAAATCTATTATGCATTAGTTTAGTGTCAATCTTACTTTCGCTTTATCGATCAAACATTTAATTGTTATCTTTATCGTAAACCGTAATTCGCAATTACTTTTATTTTATTTATTTTTATTTTTATTTTATTTATTTTTATTTTTATTTTGATTTTTATTTTATTTTTATCTTTATTTTATTATTATTATTATTATTATTTTCTTTTTAAATCGATTACAAAATAAAAATAAATAAAATCTATTATCAAAAATATCAAAAGTTGATTTGGTTCATTTAATGTGTTAATTATTTATTATTTATATCAATCAATAGTTCAGTCATGGATAAGTATAATAAATTTTGGTATATGATGCATAATCAAATTTATCATCGAATGCATAATCGTTGACGTTAAGAATTTATTGTCTTCTTCGATTTTTCTTTATCATATTTCTGGTATTACGAAGATCCATATATGATTATTCCGCATCTTCGGGAATTGGATCTTATTGAATCTTTAATAAATACTTTTAAACACTGAATGATCCGCGGAAAAATTTTAATACAAACACTACACGAAAGTTAAATTCAAATTGTGAATACACTTTATTAATTTTTTGATAATAATAATGGGCCACTAGATCTCTAATTACATAGTATTATAAAACTATAGTTAATATAAGAATAATAATGATGATAAACATTGATTACAATAATTTTCGTGTTCGACATACTAATTAACTAATTTTATTCGTTTCGGTGAATTGATCTGCTGATCAAAAAATCCACTTGATTTTGTCCAAATAGTTCCTTAACCGGTTCAATTAAGTCAACGTGGTTTACCAATTTTTTGTTGATAGGTAATTCCTCAGGTCTAGGTCTAGGAGGTCGTAAATTTATAGAACTAGATGTTAAACGCAAAAAAAAAAAAAATTCCAATTTCCCATCATCATTATTCTTTCTGTTTTCGTCACTATCACTATACTTTTGTTATTAAACATTCAACATCCAACATTGGAATATCATAAATATTAAAAGAATTAATAATATTCACACCTTTTTTGTTAATTTCTTTAAAATTTGGTTTTATGAACATACCGGTTGAGACAATACATTTCGTTTTCCACACAAGTCAGCATCATCATTATTTACGTTTTTTTAGTACCGAGTCGCGCTTGGACAGTACTTTGATCAATATCTTGATTAAGGTCATTTCTTTTTGCTTCAGTTACATAAATAACTGTATCGTCCATTTTAATTACTTAATCAATGGATCCCTTGTCGCAATTCCCGCAGACTTCATACTCAGAATAAACTATTATATTTTCACCAAAGGTAAATGCCACACACGTATTATTGGTTCAATAATTAATAACGGGTGACCTCATTTATCTCATTTGCAATATTAATGTGTGAACTTGTCTTATAATTCATCAAAAGTGTTGGTTTCTAATATCTTTTGATATCTCCAAAGTTTTTATCTCAATACGTGGTAAATTTAAGTAACGATCAACCATCAACCCGAAAAGATCTTTCATATTTTGAAAAATTATATGACGAAAAAAGGTTTTTGTGCTGTTGAAAATATAGAATTTAAAGAATTAGACAGATTTTGATAGATATTTGATGAATCAAATGTAAATGTATAGGTAATAACTTGAATATATTCAATATATTCAAAATTATTTTATCCTTCTGAGCACCAGTATTCCAAATAATATTCATCAATAGAAAAACCGCATGACTTTACATGACTTTAAGTTCTGTTGCACCCTCCACTGTCCCATCTCTTATTGTTTCGCTCTGAGATTTTGAATTTTTCTTGTCAGATTTTGATTTTTTACATGATGTAATTTCTTCTTTTCGAGCTACCACTGATATGTTCATCTCGAAATGCGAACGGTTGACGGAATTTATCATTAAAACTTTTAATAGAAACCGTTTGTCGAGTCACTATCTATTGAAAATTTATAGTCTTACGCGCATACATGATGGTGCTATGAACCCCCCTTTTTCTTTTCATTGGGACATGATGGTGTAAATGCAATCTTCTGATGGTTCAGTGGGAAAGTGCTTACTAATCCTCGAGAGCGGTTACAGTTCTTCACCCTCAAGATCATCTTAATGTTGATGTTATTATTGTTTCTGAGGGTGGTTAGTTTATCGTTTCCATTATCTGTAAGAATATTGACCTTCCATAATTGGAGTTTGTCTGCATCAAAAGTAACGAAGTTATTCTTTTTCTCTTCTTTATGGCTTTCCTGAGAAAACTAATTAGCTCAATTTTAACTTCAAAAAGCAATAAAAAATCGCGTTCGTTACAGTCTGAGAATAAATCTTGTACTAAATTATTGTTGTTAAGGATTGACGATCAAATAATATCTATTATTTAATAAAGAAATAAAATAACAATATCATATGACTAAAATAACTGTAGATAAAAATGTCTAATCCTGTTGAATGTAAGTGGTGGTTTTGCTTTATGCGATCTAAGTTACGCTGCCTCTAGAAAAGAATATGATATGATTCGCAGTAATTCAGGATAAGCGAATGATATTATAATTATTGCTTTTTGAAAGCGTGGCGTCTCATAGCTCGCGAGGGTGGTGGCCGTACATTGCGTTGAGGTGAATGACCTTTTGTGCTTACATTTTTTTTTATTTTATTTTATTTCACCATTGTTAAATAAGAATATTGATGTCACCAGTTCACATTCTATAATTTTGTTGTAATTTAATTACAGTTACTTCATTTTAATTATTTCTATGCTAATTTTTATTACTAAATTTTGAAATTAATAAAAGAAATTGGAAATTCCATCAAAAATTCCATAGAAATTTTACTTGCTTCTGTAAAGGATATGAAAAAAAAAAGAATGAGAAAATGAAAAAAATTTGGAAAATAAATTTTAAAAAATTATTAAATGAATGAAAGAATATTCTTGCCTCGATTTTTTTCACGAATTTCTCTTCAACAAAATTCTTAAAGTATTTCATGTATTATTTGAGAGAACATTTTTCGTATTCTTTTAAAGTTATTTATTATTTTTATTATTAAAACTTTAATTAATATTATATACGTTTATTAAATATATCATGATGAATTCTTTTCATTCCACTTTTATCATTGGTGATATTATTGGTTTCATTCAATTGATGGTATAAAGTAGTAAAGTTTTAATGGATCAAAATTTTAACAATTGCCTAGTGATATTGTTACGAAGACTCTTTCTTTATTAAACAACTACAAAAATTATGATTATTATTATTACATATCAATTAATCTTTACATTTATGAATATTTCATATTTCTATATATAATGGACTTTTTAACAAGTGATTTATTTGTGTTGTCACTTTATTATCTAATCTTGGGTAAAGGTATTGAAACTTGATTTCTGATATACAGAGATCCAATCTCCATTGATTCTAATTTATTTATCAATTCAAGAAAAAAAGAAATTCAAGAAATAAATAAAATGAAACGTTCGTTAATAATAAAAATAAAAAATAAAAATAATGAGTTTACCTTCTTATTTTTATAATATGAAATTTCATATTCTAAATCATGCCATTTATCGATGGAAGGTTTTGATGATTATAACTGTAACCATTTCTTATTTAATTCTTTCCTTAAACCTAAAAATTAAACCTAAAATAAATAAATTCCAATGCATTAAAAAAAAATACGATTAACTAAATTAAAAACTGACTAACAGACCTTCTTCTGGAATATAATTTAAAACTTTTTAGTCCAATTTTTAAGCACATCTTGATCTTCCAAAATTATCTGTTCAAAATATATTCTCAATAATTTCCAAAGATTGTCTATAATGAACTAACGTCAAAATGAATGTAGCATATAAATTTATTCTTTTTTTTTCTCTCGAATAATAGGGTACAAACTTTAATGATGAATGCATATTCTTATATAAATAAACTTTTTTTTAATGTTGTTGGGCACCACCCTATCATAAAAAAAAATAATAATAAAAATCACTCAAAAAATGAAATAAAAAGAAAATTCTTCACGAAATTCATGATGTTTTACCTTTATAACTTTCAGATCGCTACAATTGCTTTTCTTTCATCATTATTCAATTTACGAGCACGTTCATCACAAATCCAACAATGAACTCCACGTCGATCAGAATATATCCAAAATCCTCTACACATTTTCAAATAATTTAAAAATATTTTAAATAATCAATTATTTCATTAATTAATTAATTACCTCTGAGAGAAACATCAAGTATCTTTAATAACGACTGTCATGAATTGCCAACTTTTAAGACAAACATCTCCACCTCTAAAAACAAACCAAAAATAAAATAATAAAAAATAAAAATAATAATAATAAATAATAATAATAATAAAATAAAATAAAAATATTAATAGAAAACAATAATAAAATAAAAATAAAAATAATAATAAAATAAAATAATAATAATAATAAAATAAAAATAAAAAATAATAATAAATAAAATAAATTATAATTACTTGCAACATGTACAAATATCTTCATAATCTGTCATATCAATATCAAAAACTAATTCCTTTTCAACAGATTTAAATGCGGATGATCGTAAAGATCCTTTATCTTTTTGCTAAACAAAAATAAATTTAAAAAATTACTATCACATTCTACCGTCAATATCACATAAATTATTAGTTACTTACTTTCGCTGAATAGACTTCTCCCGCAACAGTCAATTTTTAATGGACATTGCTTAACAATTTCTGCTATCAATACTTTATTATAGAATTTTCTTTTATCAATCTGTACCTTTTTACACCATTTTCTTATTTGTATATATATACAACATAAGAAAATTAATAATATTTCAAGAAAACTTGCTCAGCAGTAAAGAAGAACCCGGAAGAAAAAACACGCGTGTATTAGAAACACGTATTCCAAGTAGATAGCTAAATGTATATATAAATTTTAATAAAGATTTGATTTAATTATTAATATATAAATTTGATTACGTATATTATTATATCAAAATAGCTAAATGTATATGTAAAATTTTAATAAAAATCTAATTTTAACTATTAATATAAATTTGATTTAACTTTAATACAAATTTATAAAGTTCAAGAAAATGATGAAAATAATATCTTGAAGTACCAACCTTATATTTTACTTCCCAATTCTAATAATTTTACTTCAAATCAAATAAATAAAATGGAAATTACTCATCAACAAATAAGAGCTGTGAATCAAGCAACACATGAATGTATATTAGATATACAACCAAAACCTAGAGTAATGGCACAAGAATCATATTTAACATACCATTAATCATCATAATCTTGGTAACTAGGATATAAAATGTATTCACTGTAGTACACTTCATTGGCTTGATTAACGTATTATTTCCTCTTCTTAAAGTCATCCAAAATTTTAGTAAATGCTGTTTGTTGTTTTGTATAATATGTAATTAGAATTAGTTCTATATTAAAACTTGTTATATTAAGCATAAGTTCGACGGTATTGTTTCAATGACTTTGAATTTAAAATATTTATTTTTGAAAAAGTTCGGCTACGTGCTTTTGATTGATTAAAATTATGTTCCACAAGATTAGAATTGATATAATTGATATGACATGATCTATCAGCACGCGCTCAATATAATAAAGCGTTTACGAATTCAACGTACGATGCGAAAAAAAAAATTTTTTAACGTGTTATCTGTTTTATAACAAATAACCATTAGTCTTACGTCCGACAAAATTACTTGAGTACGTCAAACACTATTTTAACAAACGGATTTTTAAACGAAATGCATTTTTTTTTGAAAATAAATCAATATCTGAAATGTCTTGATACCATTGCGAGCAGTAGGGAAGGTAAAAGGAAGAAGGCAGATTTTCTTCTCGATAGATTTAGAAATCGATACCGGACTCAGATTAACCACTCGATTTTATCTGATGTTCCGTGGGATAAAACATTTTATCTCCTAATTTTATTTTAGTCGTAAATTAACGAAAGAACGCTCACGTAAGCAGGCTCTCCTCAACCAACTCGGGCATTTACGGAAGTTTCGAGTGGTGTGACTATCTATCAATTTGGTACCAATTTATCTTCAAGAATTAAATTCAAAAGAAATCACGATCTATGAATATTTTTTTAAAATCAACGAAGCTAATTTATTTTAATATTTTAGGATGATTGAAAAAAACTATGTCAAACCAAAAGTGGAAAGTAAATACCAGATCATCACGAACCAAGGAGGAGGTAGAAGAGGAAGTAAAGGAAATGAAGGAATTAGATATTGATATTCTTGAAAAGTCTAAGGAAAAATAAAGTATGAACGAAAATGGACGTTTAAATGTACAAGGAATGCAGTAAATGATGTTCTATTTGAGTGTACGTCAGATTTTATATCTGAATATTAAGTACAGCGAATTAATATTTTAGAATTTTTAATTTTTTAGCAATCTGATAACTAACTAACTAACTTGCTTGCTTAACATTACAATAGTTTGATACCCTCAATTGCGATCGACATCGAAATAGTTGCTATTGTTTTTGTACAAGCTTTCGGACATGGCAAGTAAACAGTGAGTTTACAAAAGACGATTTTTGTTCTTGAGATAACAACCATTTCTATCAGATTGCAAATAACGTTATTGGTCGTGGGGTAAGGGTGATGGTGTATGGCCCAATAATATTCTTTCCCAAGGAATTAGAAGTAATCGAAATAACAAATATTAAGGAATAATCAGAATTAAGCTTCGAATTATATGAAAATCTAGCAATATTTATTGATTACTGTTATCATATTATAGTTAACATGTTCTAAGTAGACGAAATTGAGGAAATCATGAAAGAAATTGATCACGGAGAATACAGCGTGTAAGTATAGTACTTTTACATCAACACATGAATTATTGTTCAGTGCAAGAATATGTTTATTCGCAGGATACGACAATATCCTAAGTGTATTTTCTTTGGACTTACATGAAGCTTGATATAAAATCAATGTCTGAAGGTTCTATTATTGATAGAACTTACGATAATATTCCAAATGTTGATATATTGTTCGGTAAGTAGTAAATATTTACTAGGGGCGAATCATCAAGCCTTCCAAATTCTGATCGAAACAAATAGACTATGGTCCTTGAGTTACTGTGTAAAATTTTACTATCTAAAAATAAATTTATTAATAACAAAAAAAAACTATTATCAATTATTATCTTGTATCAAAAATTAATTTTGCACATTCTTCAAAATATTATAATACATTATTTATTTTTTTTTTTTTTAATTTGACAAATCCAATACCTTTTTTTGTTTTCATGTTATCCTTTGTTAACATACATTACTTGTAATTACTTATCATTACTTTTTTATTGCTAATTTACAGTGAAATAATTTTTGTATTAAATTCATGGATCTTCATAATTTTACCATATTTTAGTGATAAATTAATCATTAGATACTACTTTAGCACCAACTTGAATGTTGGAGCACTAGATAATTCAAAACCTTTAGAAATTTTTTTATCTGAATTTTTTTTTTTATCAGTTTCAGCTTTACGCTTAAATGGTAATATTAAATGGCTTTTTTAAGATATCGTGTTTTTTAAATAAATAATACTTTATTAATTGATTTAAATACGCGTAATTAAATAATTAATTAATTACAAAGTTTAACTACTGTACAATTTTTATGAATTGGATTATTATTATCAATATCATTTATTGGTTTTCGAATAAATTTTTAACTTCTAAGAATTTTTTTTTTTAAATTATGGTTAAATTCAAGAAAGAAATTGTTTTAATAAGTAATAACATTTTTTTTTATATTACCATTAGATTGATGAATTCGATATGAAATTTGATGATAAGTAAATTTCATTTAAACTTATTTAAATACAATGCATTGGCTTTTATTTTTAATTTCGATCACATGGAAAATGAAAACTAAATAATAAAATTACACATGATTTTCCCGAAAGAGGAAATCAGTGTAATTCCTAAAAGTTCAAATACTAAAAAAAGGTATTCATTTATATTTCAAATGGTTGTTCCTTTAATACAATGAAAAAAAAAATAATATAAATGAAGAAACAATCTTCTATCTTCAAAACTAAATGGAATTCAAAATATATTAGACATTTACCAAACAAAGCGTAATATAAGAATCTTCAAATCCCCAAATAATGTTTGTTGTCGGGTCATAAGACAATAATGAATTTTATTTATTTACATCATAAGGTGTCCAATTATAGAATACAATGCATATATTTAGATTCTTTCTTACCTCATGATCTTTTCTTTAAAATTTTTTTTTTCAAAAAAGAAATTTTAACCTGTCATCTGTAAATGCACCAGGGCGTGCCTGGCTCATGCTTTTCTTGCTATTTCTCAAAAAGAAAAAAAAACATTTTAAAATTAATATTCAAATTTGTAATGGTATCATTTTTATTGTGAAACTTTCCGATAATAAGATGATACAATGTGGGGTATGCGGGATGTATAATTTTAAACAAAACATCGCCTGACATCTGTATCGCAAATTCACAATGGCAGCTGGCTCGTGCTTTTATGCTCAAAAAAGAAAAAAAAAATTATTCAAATTTAGTAATAAAATGTAATATATCAACAAAAAAATGATATTTCTGATCTCATATTGATAGGATGATACGCACTCTTTAACCAAATCTGAATTTAATTTTAAACAATATCTGTGCAAGATAAATATGACATTGGCGTACACTATGAAAATTCTTACATATAGAAAATCGGGGTTAAGTTATTTAATATAGTCTGCATTGTTGTAGTGTTTAAAATTCAATGTGTGGAGTGTGAGCTTGCACAAAATTTGAAGCATCCGCATATAATTTAAAATTTGAATTTCAAATTTTTTTAACGCACCCTGACATGAGGTTTATTAGTGACAGATAAGGGTGACAAATATGGGTTTCACATGCTAAAAAAATTCTTTAAAGGTGTGACACGGGTATAATTTTTGATCTTACCTAGTATCGCGATAGAAATTTCACCCCCACGTGCTAAATTCATGGGTTAGGGTTGGGTTTATCATGGGTAGTGTATTTATCACCGTGTGTCACACCCTTCGAATATCAATTTTCATTAAATATTCTGGTTTTTTTACTTACGGAAAACATATTCGTCACTGAATATTCATCATCCTGTAAAAGCAACACGTGAAAAATTTCTGATCACCCGCCGAATTATGGACCAACATCAAAATACCATGTGGGGGGTGAAAATTTCTACGGCGATACTGGAATTTTTTACCCTAATCCTTACATTTAGTCATATTTATTTTTTGATAAAAATTTACCAGACTTTTTACAAAAAAAAATGTTAAATTGTTTACTTAAATGATTATATTGTGACAATTTATACACGCGCCAAGCTCTATATATAAATTTTATTATAAAATGATCAAAAATAACATATTTATTTATTTAAATGATCGATAAGCATAAATACAATAAAATTTACTCGATAACTCATATGGACTAAAAAAAAACTCATATAACTAATAACCTTAAATAACCATAATTTAATATTGGACACTTTTATAAATGATATTCTTCGTAAATAAAGACTTGTAATAATGATTTAATAACACTAATTCTTTGTATGCCAGGAATATTTATCGATATCGCCAATTTTCGATTACAAAAATTAATTATTTTCAGATGCCGTAATATTGAAATAAAAAATTAAAAAAGAAAATCTAATTAATCTGTTTTTTTTTTTTATCATGTGGTTGTATCCGATTCTTCTTCTAATGATTGTGATTTAAATTAATAAAAAGACGAAGCTGATCCTTCAATCAACATAGATGCAAAAAGATTCATGGGTGTATCATCTCTATCGTGAACAATCGGGGTTTCTTCTGTAGGAAGAGGTCTATTACACAACATTGTCTCCGCCTCTTCTAATGACCTAGGTGTTGGCAAGTTTATAAGTTCACGTTGTAAACGTGATGCGTTTGAAGTTGATATTCTTAATGGTGTTATTCGATAAGAATTTGATAGCTGACAGGATGAAGCTGTGGGATTTCGTTCGAAGTAATCATTAGTCACAGTAGCCATTCTAGAGTAATGCCTTCGAAAACGAGTAGGGTAATTTTTTAAATTACTCCAGCATCTGGTGGATATGGCACGTAATTCAGTTGGATTATAATTTAATCCATAAGAGTTACAACTAGATATTATTAGTTTATTAATAATATCTATCGAGCGTACTTTCCTTGCACCCCTATAGATAATGATCGTTTGATTTCCATATAAAATAGATGTCATTATGACGTTTAAATCACTTTGAGTAATAGTCATTCTAGCAGATTTATTTAAAATTTATCGAGAAATTTTCTGCTTATTTTATAATATTTTAAAAATGCACTGGGAAATTCACGAATAAATTTAAAGTTTTTGAGACAGAATGGCGGTCCTTTAAATAGAATTTCATTTATAGATGATATAATATCATTAAATCGACTATGCTAACCGTAATTAAATAGGATCAATATATTCTTTATTCCAGGTCACTCACTTTTATCACTTTTATAAAGTAATCGGACAGAAAAAATTAAGTATAATATCAAAAAAGTATAATATCCGATATTATGTATCTACTGGTAATGCAATGGAATATTAATAAACTTTCGAAATCTTCATCCGGATATGGGTATTTTGCTGGAATTGCGAACCAGTTAAATTTTAATTTTAGCTAAAATTATGATTATAAAGCATAAAAACGGAAAATATTTCAACAGAATTAAAAGTCGAAATAACGGTCGGTACATAAACTCCTTTTTCATGCAAGTGATTTCGATGCATACATAAAAATGATTAATAATTCACATTTTTAATCATACTTTAAAAAAAAGACTAAACTTTTTTTTAGGCAACATTTCATTAGTATTAGTAATCATTTCATTGATTATTATAATTATTTTTTTTAATTATATATTGAAATAAATCATATCTGCTGCAGTACCAAAGATAAGGCAGAATTGAAGATTGATTTACAAAATTTGGTGTGACATCAGTTAAAGTAATAGATTAATTTGTCACAGCAGGTGGTCTTAGCTTAAATTCCATTGTTAGCACTAATTTGGATAAATACTTGTAACTAATCTGAAATTTATTCATATGGTGAAAATATAAGATTATTTACGTGCTTTGCCAACTTTGTAGCCTGCATGATAGTAAAAGATATTTTCATAATGTTTTAGAATCCTTAGTATATTATAATAATAACTATATCCAAACATAAGTTATCGGTTCAATTTCAAATTTACCCTGCGATTAATAAAATTATTTCGATGGTAATAACTGGGTCCTTTATAAAACTCAACTGAACTGATAAACTGAACTGATATGACCTAAAAATAAATATTATGAATAATAACAATAACAATATTTACAATCAATTAATTATCAAAACAAATAATATTATTATCATCACATCAACATCTATTTTAAGAATTTTTTTTTCACGGAGAATTGATTTTTAATGATCATCACTTTCTTTGGAAAGATGACAAATATGATGACAAATAATCAATCATAAGCGAGATAATGTGGGTGGAAATTAGAATGTAACGATTATCTTATCTGATAGATTATTAATTACTTTAAAATTTTATAAATTGATAAAATAATCTAAATAACTAGTATCCGAAATTAATTAATTAATTGGACTTCAAAAATCTCAAATTGGTTATAGTGCATCATGCGCAGATTTTTAAGCATAAATAAAGTCGTGTTACTATTTTTCTTTGTTAAATTCAATAAAGAACTATACGGACGAAAATTCCATATTTTATTGTTCGAAAATCTGATAAATTAAACAAATAATTTTGGATCATTTCTATAGAGAAGAATTTAAAGGAATTCAGAATAATTTCTTTTGTTTACTTTGTATCGTAAACCTTATTAAAAATATTTGTGAGAGAAAATTCTTCATTGATTTTTTGTCTTGATTTAAAAGTATTGTCCCACAGCACTTTATGTGCGACGATCATTTTTAGATAATAAAGATAATAAATTGATTTGGATTTCAGTCTTAGAATTCACAATACACTATGTTATTTACCATGCTTAATAGAAAGTAAAGCTAAGAGTTAATTTAAAAAATAAGCAATAACGAACGCACATAAAAAGAGCATTCCGAATCAAAAAAAAGTTCAATTATAAATACTTTATACTATAATTAATTTAGCAATAAATTTTTTATATAAATAACATCTCTCAATCCTCCTCAGCTCAACCCTCCCCAATCCTCCTCAACCCTCCTCGAACGTAAAAAACTTTTTATTTATTATCAATATGTCTTTTATTAATCACCAAAATACTACAAACATAATAAAAGTACCATTTCCTCCGTCTATTACTATAGATGAAATTGTACAAATGCATTTAAAAAATGGAATTAAGAACGTTAATCGAACCATGAATGCATTTATGATTTATCGAAAAGAATATAGTCGTATAGTTGCAAAGTTTAATCTTGAGCTTATAGATGTATCTAAAATTTCCAGTATTTCTTGGAAAAATGAACCACAACATATTAAAGATTATTACAAACAGTTTGCAAAAGATGTTAAAAGACGTTTCGAAGAAATTGTTCCTTCTCTTTGTTTTGTCCACATTAATCAAGTATCTGATGCAAATGATTATCACGTCCCTTTGGATAAAAATCCTTTAGACACCACTTACAAAAATCATCCAATTCTTCCAATTCATCCACCTCTTTCACTTCGTAATATTTATCAAAACTTTCTAGATGCTTATCCTCCGTTCACTAATTCTCCACTTCTAAATATAAATCAAGACGTTGACCCTTTCTTTCTTAACGTGGATCTTTATAAATATATGACTATGGATGATGACGAACTTATTGATTATCTTCCTGAAGATACTGCATTATCTTATAAAGCAATTATTCAATCTTTACCCCCTCAATAATTCAATCATGTGGTGTTCGCATCTAAACTCTTTAAATATATTTTCATAGTTATTGTATAATAATTAAAGTCTGAATATTTTTCGTTTTATATAAAATTTAATATTCAATCTTTAATATTTTTGGGAAAATTTTTTAACATGTCATCACGTTAATATGATAATTAATGTTTATATTTATTTATCAACATTCCAAATAATTATACGTACATCTGCAGCTTTTGTATATTCTTCACCAATTAATACCTCTGGTTCAATATATGGTAATACACCAAATATATTCTTTTTTTCGGGACTATTTGGATTTACCCCTATTAAATTACTTAATCCAAAATCTGAAATCAGCATATTTTCTTTAAAATCGGATGATAAAATTTTCCAAGATGGAAGTCTTGGTGAATTATATCTGATCTATGAATGTTCTTCAACCAGTAAGGTAATACCCATAGATTCAATAATTTTTATTCCAATTATCACGCTTTGCAAATTCGACTATTAGTATTTAGTTGAGAATTTTGAATGAATTTATTTATTTTGTCATTTCCACTTCGCTTGTACAATTATTGAAATCCTTTTAGAAATGTTTCGAATTTCACGGTTTGTACCATTTACTATAGACAACGATATATTTTTGATTGCATTCTGAGCATATATTAGATGCCATTTTTTTGTTTGTTTGCTTATGGTATGAATGATTGAATTTTTTTTTTTTTTTTTTGAAAAAAAGAAACGTAAATTGCGTTTAAAATTGACAAATGTTTCTAGTATGCAAAAAAATTGCATTTACAGTATTAATGGCATTTTAATATTTATTACGCAAACACAAAAACGTATGGACTTCGGTAAAAGTATTTATACGAAATTCATTAAACATTATGTATATCAATGCTACAATTCCGAATAAAATCAAGTGTAATATTAATCACGCGAAAAAAAAATCACCATTTAATTTAATTATTTTTTCTGAGTGATTGGTGGCTATTATTATTTTTCATTTTATTATTTATTATGATCCAATTTATCATATTAAATAAACGACATTGTAAATTACTGGATGCTTGGGAAAAATTATTTACTTATTCACTGAATAAACTTAAATGAGAAATAATTCCCTAGAAAACAGGCAAAAATCACACATTCAACAGTGTGATTACCAACCAATAAAAATAAAGCACATGATTAAATAATAGACACATGATATTTCACGAGCGTGATAAATTTTAGGTGACGAATATTATGCTTTTCGCATAATAAAAATTGATATTCGAGGGGTATGATTCATACCCCTCGAATAGGGTTGTTAATAGAACATAATGGGTTGGGTTGAGTTCATATTATAGTGGAGCAATGGTCAACCCAACCCAACCCGGGTTAAATGTATCACTGGTACTCCGCAGGTTGCTCCGGGTTGCTCCGGGTTACTTTATGAAGTAATAATTATAATTAGTAAAACTGATCAGAAATAATTATCGATCGTTGCTACATATAAAACTTTTTATTT